TTTATTCGCATGTCGAAAAAATCCGGCCGTTGCAAGTTTTTACAGGTCCATCAGGCCACTTCTTTCTTTCAAATATTTCGATAGGTCAAAAATAAAGAACATTAATACTAATTTCCAATATAAAATGTTATCTACTCGAAAGTTCCAATTATTTGTTCATGATTTTATTGTAAGAATTACATTAAAAGAACATCAGAAGAATACATTACTTTACAGAGTCTCTATTAAGTTTATCATCTGAAAGACCTATTTAGAACTTAGATTTGCCATCTGACCTTTAACTTCAAGAAATATTTTAGATATTTTAAAAATTTATTTTGTAGAAGGTTCAAGAAAATTTATATCAATAAGTTTCCAAATTTTGTTAAAAAATTCAAGGAGAGAAGACATTTTTATTAATCCTCGAATATTTCTTCCACTTCAAAAATATTAGAGAAGACGTACAATCAACTCATCTATAAGCACATGCCCAATTTTTAAATTATGTAAATATATGTAAATTTCGACCATAAAGAGCTTGGTTCTAACCGCTAGTATATAACCATGATGCTCATAAAATTAATGCAATTTTCTTATTGTAAGTACTACAGTTTATTGAACTAGTGGTTGTCTCGAAGTAGAAGGTGCAAGTCAATAGTTTTGATTTCTTAATAGTTTTACCTGGTGATATATCCGAATTTACAAACCTTATAATATATATGTAATTAATTTTCAAAAGTTGACAATGATATTCCTATATTAACATTTTATATTCAATATTGCAAAATCATATCTTTTCTTCACTTTTAAATTATCACTAACTGATTAAAAATAGTTAATATTCACGCAATCACTTTTACAATATTATGCAACATACTCCCCAGCACAATAAAGAAAGTATTAAGAATGTTAGATATTTTACATCATTAATTAAAAGAAAAGAAGTAGTTTCATGTGATTGCAAGTAACTTGATAATAACATCTTCAAATTTATCCTTAACAATGTGAACATTCATATTTCTACAGCATCATTTAGTACCTCCATTGTATTTGCCTCAAATTAAGAATGGAATATGGAATACTTGACTTAGCTTGTTGTTTTGTTCGATATGCACTTTTTGAAAACAAGAGATAACGAAACATAACACAAGAAATACCGAAAAACGGAGTCGTATTAAAACATTTCATACCATACTGAGGAGTAAATTATTATGCATAATAATCGCATAATAAAGTATATCAATTTATATTCAATTTATTCTAAACAAACCTTGTCCGCCTGGAAAGCCATGGAATAGGAACTTATTAGGATTAAGGTTATGATTACCTAAACTTTAAACAATATTTTGCTATTTTATCAGCCTTTACAAATATGCAACAAATAAATAGACATTACTTCAAAGCATGTAATACAGAAAATTAAGCACTAACTATATCACATATTATGTACAATAAAACTCATTGTCCAACTATAAACTTCATGCATATTATTGAATATAAATTATCAATTTGAATTTATAAATTATAATCAGGAACAGAACATACAAACTATAATATTTAAAGCAAGGTTTAATTTAAAATATATTCAAAATATTTTGTAAAAACATCAACATATAAATGAAAAATCCAATTTCAAAATTAAGATTGTTATGCACATTATGCATAAATTTTGTGGATTTATTTTTCATTAAATAATATTTTCAAGTGTAGATTTGTAAAAACTTCTACATTTTCTACTGTCATGCAGTGAATTCTAAAACTACTCACCTTATTGTAATGTGTATGTTGAGTCCGATTAGAACCGTTGTTATCCAGATACGTCAAAGTCTTTACCTGCGCATCATCCTCACGATGCTGAATGGTGGCGACTCCCGAACCAGGACCGCCGCTACCTACGCCACTAGCAGCCAGCTGCGCCGCTCGTTTTGATATGTATTTTTGTGGCTTCATCAGACTAATAAATATTTTGAAAATTAAATTTCTGATAAGAAATGCTTTAAAAAATTGCAATTTTCAATCTGAACTAAAGTCTATATTATTTATTATTTTATTGATATGTATAAAAAATATGAAGAATTTAAGACTCAAAGAAAAAAGCTGTATTAAATAGATATAACAAATACCTGGGATATTGAGGCCCAAATTGTGTATAACAACAATTGTTCCAACAGCCTCTACTAAATGGATTATAGCCTCCTTTGAACTTTCCCGTCACTTGTTCATTTGTAGTTCTACCACGACTAACTAAAACCATGTGGAATCCTGACAAACCAAAGACAGGAATGGCTAGTAATGTAACTAGGCCCATCAAAACCATACTAAACAAAGATTGGTTAAGAAACAATATATTGGCTGTCCATTATTTGTGATAAACTAATGAATTGTTGTATTAATAATAGTAAAAAATAGGCTTTTTAGCATTAAAAATTAATCATATGATGTAAAATGTTATTGTGTCACAAAAAATGCATGTATCTTTCACTTGAAAGGAGAGAGATATTTATTGTAGAAATTAAATCATCCCCAAAAAAAAATCAAGAATATATTACTTACACTTGTAATAAATATTATACATATAGTGAGATATGTTTCTATAGGAAGCAAATCATTTACTATATACTAAATTTGAAAATATATTAAAACTTATAAGAAAATAAATTAAATATAATGTGTGATTGATTAGTTTTAAAAAGGATACGCTACAATAGGTTCCACTTGCGTAAGTCTTTCCTTATTGTGTAAAATATATAGCAAACATAATGAGAATATGCTTAGCATATGTATTGACAGTGATATCAAGAAAAAGAAGAAAAATCTATAATTTCTTCGTCCTATACAATTATTTACCCAAGGGCAATGATGATCAAAAGTCTGGAAATATAATCAATTATTTAGCAAAAATCATATGATAATGATTATAATAAAAGTACATTTAAATTACCTCTATACAATGATTGCAAACAGAGCAATGTGAACAACGAGGGGGTCTATAAAATTTACAAGTAACACACCACTTCATTCGCACAGTTATCCCATTTATTTCTACATTTTTATATAAAGGAGCTCTAAAATCATCCTCTCGATCCCTCATCCGGGGGCGCTGAAATTTCACAACACAAACTTTTTATTCTGTATAAGGTAATTAAAATTTCAAAATCCAAAAGTTAAGAAATCTATTTTCAATATGCATAATATCAATAATAGCTAATTATGAATACAACTTTCAAAATGCACTTTTTCAATCATCAATTTTTAAAATTGCACTATTTTAATAATATTGTAAACATCAATGTTGTATAATGTAAATCTTATTTTTATTATATACCTTTTGGTATTACACCAGGATCCATAAATGTAGCTAATGTAAAATTTGCTATGACGAAAAATGTTATTACTCCTTGATATGCTGGAACCCATGGATGTCGAAAAATATAATATTGGCATCTAAAAATAATTTTTGACACAATTATTTATCTTCATCTATCACACATTTATTACTTCACTTCTTAACAATCGACATTAAATAACATGATAACTTTGCACTATGTCAACACAAATAAGAAATATTCAAAGAAAGTTGAAATCAATATAAAGAAAATATACATGATTAAAATAAACACAATGTTTCTATTAATAAAGAGGGAATTGAGAAACACTTCAACGGTTGTACGTATACATTTGAGAATTAACACAGTTTTGACTTACGGATAATAAAAGAATAGGAATGTAGTGCCTAATAACAATGTCCAAGCAAACGTTGCTGGAATATATCTGGTTTTTAAATCGCATTTGGGCATTATGTTTACTAATTTTTTAAAGTTAATTGTTATTATAAAAATAACCCACAAAACATTACTGTTTTCTTATATGCCATCGGAGATGAAATAGCAACATGGCCGCACCTTCACATATGAATGACTGTATTGCCTGACTGCATCAATTTGACATCACATTATTTGCCGCTCTTATTTGAAATCAAATTCATATTAATATATATGCTAATCAATAGAAAAGTTAATGAAATGCAATACATGTGCGCTTTATTATTATATAATATTTTATTTTTCACCAATACAATTCTGTCTAAGTATTTGGTATAATTAAAACACATGTTTCCAATGCATACAAATATAATCACATTCAATTTGAAACAATGGATAAATCCACAGATAAATATTCTGTTATTTAATATGTTTCAAACTATTATCTGGTCAAATAATTATCTGTTTATACTTCAAATGTCATAAAATATTAATTACATTTTACATTCAATATATATTAAAATCACTATATACCTAACATATTCAGGACATTTCATCCAATTAATAAAGGAAAGGAGTTCACAAAGTACACTTTAATGAACTAGTCATGCTAAACTTTCTCCACAAAATTAAATATAATATCATATTTATATTCTTAATGATCTATGAAACAAAATCAGTTATTAAATCGAAATATTTATAAAATTAAATTAAATTATCAAAAGTTGAACATCATATTGAATATTTAGAAGTGAATTATAAATTAATTTATAGATTAACATTGGTTAATAATCTATATTGTTGCACTACTCTCTACAAAAGCATTCTGGAATATATTTATGCCCAATGGTGCTTTTTCAAATTCAATGTTAAAAATATATCCCTAAATCACAGAAATAAATCAGCTTTTTGTATTATATGAAATTATCACTTTAATAAAATTGAATCTTCTGTCGTAATAAAATTCACATCAACTAATACTTATTACTGTGATTGCAATATTTTAGGTATTTTACTTTTTAGAATACTTTCTAATATACAGTTACTTTTAATATTATTCTATTACAAGAATATTCATGTTCGAAACAAACCTAAAACGTGCTTTATATAATATCTGTATATACACAGAAGTATAGTTGCATATAAAATTTCAATATATCAATAAAAAATAAACAAAAACAAAAACTAATAATATAAAGATACTAAAAATAATTTGTAAAATCGGTAAAATAAATATAAATTAAATTGAATTCTAGTAAGCCTTATTTTTACAACTTAAATATTTATGTGAGATCTTCAGTTGCATAAATGTACCCTTTTTGTTGTAGAATGTATAAACGTTTTTCAACCGCATCTTTATCTAAAATGAAATGTTTAATTAGAACTTACAATAAAAATTATTTGTAAAGTCTTTCTTACATTTTGTCAACAGAATTCGGTCTTGCTGATGACTAACATGTTGTGAGAGACTATGCAGTAAAATTTGAGCTGTTTGATAACGCTGGAAGCACTCTTCTGGGTTTCCAAAAAGTTCATCTAAAGCGGCTGACTGACACTAGAATGAAAAAAAAATAGTATAATATAATGAATATTTATCAATATTTAGTTACGAAATACATACCATTTCAATAGCATGATTGTAGAGAATCTTATCAGCTGTAATGTTGGTTGTTGAAGCTTTTTGTAATAAACCACTGTTATTCAGCCTTTTAGACTCAGCTAGTGTAGATTTATACTTATTGTTCATCACAGATAAAACTGAAAAATATATTTTATTCATGTAAAAATAAATTTTACTAATAAAAATGTGGCACTGCTTCTTTATGAATGTAAATTAAATACTATAAACTAAACCACAATTGTGGTTGAGGTTAAGCAAGTTTAATCGATATTGCTTAATAACAATGTCCAAGCAAACGTTGCTAAAATATATTTGGTTTTTAAATCGCATTTAGGCATTATGTTACTATTTTTTACAGATAACATATTATTAGTGATAAACTTATAAGTGATGACTAAATTTATAATAAAACAATAACATTTTTTACACTCTATCCGAAATACGTAGAAGCTTGTGTAAGTTTCAGTCAAAATACATTGAAGCTTGTATAAGTTTCAGTCGAAATACTGAAATGAGTTTATAAATAGCAACCCACCGTTTTTAACAGTAGCAGACGGTTGTAACTGACCGTCTTTCAACTGCTTTGTAGCCAAGTTGAGTCCAGAACTTAGCAGATGTAACGCTCTTATTAAAAGCACCAGCTGTTCCGCCCGTTGTGAATTGCCGACAGTGCCAGCCTCGTCGACAACCCAACGCCGAGCCTCAATGGCAGTGCGATTGCCCCCAGCGGGCTGTGACCGATTACTCCCAGAGACATGAGACGGCTCCAATAGCGATGATAACGGTGCTCCACGAGTAGCAGCGAGTTCTAATACACAATCGCTTAGTGCCAAGACAAAGTTCAATTGGCAAGAGTCTCATTGTGTTCCCTCTGTAATAAAATAAAATTCAGACTAGTTAATAAAACAAAGTTTTCGGGTACATATAAATAAAAATTCAATGTTTGTATATGTATAAAATCATGAAATATTGCAAATAGATTTATGAATACAATGAAACAAATGTTCTCTTGCATTTGATCACTAGAATATTCACTATTTTACATTGTAATTTGGATTTGTCTGTAAAATTTATATGTTAACACAAAGTAAAATAACTGTATAGCAAACCTCCAATAAAGTCTCTTCTGGTAATTCTGGGTGCAAGGAATGTTATTGGTTCTTGGTTGCAATGTCCAGGATACTAGGAGTACATTGTGCAGCAGCCTGCATAGTTTCTGGCAGAGTAATGGCCCTAGGACCCATGCCGAAAACGCGGTGGGATTATTATTGTCCAGTCTGGGCTACCCAGGGCTGACATCTTTGGTAAAGCGCTCAATATTGGAGAGCTTGTTCCTGGAAAATTTTATAATAGTACATCTTCATAGTAAAATAATTTTATAAAAATGGATTTAAAACATCTTAAACCATCAACATAGAATGAATATGAATAGAATTAAAGTAATAGTTGAAAGTATAGCTTTTATAGTAGTACTCTTACAAAAACCAGAATGATACTAACCTGACCTACGCAATGGAGAAGT